GTTAAGCGACACGTGGCTGTAGTAAAGATGTATTCCTTTGTTTTAGTTATACTATCCCCCTTTTCGATTAACAACAACAAAAAGTTGTGAAATTGGGACTTTTTTTGGGTATTCACATTTTCTTTCAGAGCTTATGAAGTGCTCACAGATTTTCCAAGCCCACTTTGTAAATTAATAGCAAGTTAAGGGTAGAGTGAGATGGGCCTGTGGAGACATTTTTTCTACAAAGGGATATACAGCACTTATGAAAGCTGGTGGCCTACGTATGACAGTGTTCAGGCACTGAGGACTTGGAAAATATTTGGTGGCCACTCAAAAGAGCATACCTTGCCCCTTACCTGCATAATTTAGATTATCTATCATTCCCTAAGTGACCATGACATCTGAATGGAGTCCACACCTAATGGCATCCTACATGTTAGACACAGCTTTATGCATTTGTTGGAGATAGGCTGGTACTGTGAACTTTATAATGTCACCAGTTGGTATGCCTACTTGTTTGTATCAGAAAACATCTCCTCTTCTCTGACGTCTGGAGAGCAAATGTATCAGTATCTGGAAACAGTTTCTGGAAACATTGCAGAAAAACTTTCCTAAGTGGTAGCTTTCCACATGGACTCTATTGTTTTTTTTCCGGTAGGTAGGAAATGACTAGAAACAAAGATTCTTAGATTTAGAAGGTCTTACAAGTCTACTTGTCTAAATTCCCCCTGCCTTGATCTTCACGTGGCCACCTTCTCTGTGTCTGGTGGCTTCTCTCCTTCTGTCTCTCCTAAGGTCATTGGATTTAGGACTCACCTGGGTAATCCGGCATGATCTCCTCTCAGAGATCCTTAACTTGAAAAGACCCTTTTCTCTAATAAGGTTACATTCACAGGTTCCAGGCGTTAGGATATGGATATATCTTTTTGAGGGTCACTATTCGACATCACACCTCCAGTCTCACTCTCCTTTCGGCTAGGTTCATTTTGCAATGCTCTGACAAGGAATTGCAGGGTTTGTGGTCATGGCACATTCATCATTTCACATGTCTACCCATTCTGTTTATGAATAGCTCGAAAGCTTAAAAATTCTTCCTTATATTGAGCCAAAACCTATCCTGGGATAATATTTGACAGTGGATTCTAGGTCTGTCCTGCAAAGCTATAGGAGATAAGAAAGATTGGTCCCATATTTCTCAGGTTGAGGGAGAATAACTCATGCACTATTTCTCCACCATTCTGATACTGTATTCTCGGAGGTATGAGATCCTTTCCAGCATATGTACCACCACCGCTCCTCCCAAAATCCCAGCCTTAATGAGTAGTTAATGCCATTGTGAGCCAGTTGTGATGGGAATGTAATGAATTGCCTCCAAGAGGGACGGGAATGGACAAAGATTGAGAAACAGCAGTCTCAGTCTTCTTCCTCACGACAGCCATTCAGATAGATGAGGACAGCTATTTATTTTTCCCTGAGTCTGTTCTTTTCCAAGATCAACACTTTTAATTTCAGTTATTTCCCATGGCATGGCTTTCATGCCATTCATCCAGGAAATATTTATGGAGGGCCTAGTGTATGCTAGGCACGCACTCTGTTAGGTGTTAGGGTGATGCAGGGATGAATATCCTAGAATCTGTGTCATCTAAGATTGTAGTCTGGGAGAGGATGTAAACAAATAAATTGCAAAACACTGTGATAAGTATTTTGATAAGCTTAAGTGTAGGGTGCTAAGGGAACATGAGGAGGAATACCCAAACCAGTATTGAAGAAGTGATATCTAAACCAAGACCTAAAGATCAAGAGGAGAGGAGGGAGGCAGGACAGCTTTATGTTCCAGGCAAAGGGAGCAGTAGGTACAAATGCCCACAAGTTTGTAGTGAATATTTCCTGGCTACCAGGCCTGCACACTCCCTTCCTGGTTTAAAGCCTTGCCTTCCAGAGGGGGAAATCAAAGATGGCTCTAGACAGTCCCTCCCTGGCAACTAGGGTGAGGAGACTGAGGCACTCACCTCAGCTCCAACATTTAAGGGGGTGCCCAAAACTCAGGAATTAAGATGAATATTTTAGTGCAATGTTTTTTAAAAATCACAATTAATGCAAAAAATCCATGATGAACAAAATATCAAAATTTTAAACAAAGACATGGTCAATATTATTGATTTTCCCTTTTGCCTCAGTCTCCAATATGGCTTGGCTTGGCACGGCACTGTTATTGAAACTTTCTTTAAGTTTTGATATTTTGTTCATCATGGATTTTGGGGGATTAATTTTGATTTTTAAACACATTGCATTAAAATATTATTTATCTTGATTAGTGAGTTTTTTGGTGTCCCTTTCAATTTTGGGCCCAAGGCGAGTGCCTTAGTGACTTCACCCTGGTCCCAGCCCTGTGACTAGGATGTACAACATCCCATGCTCAGCCAGTTGGGCTCCCCCTCCTGGGACTTGGACTCTGGAGGGTGTAAAGACACAGATGTGGTTAGAGACATTTTACAGCAACAGGAATGGAGGTCAGTGTCCTAGCCTACTGTGACTATTGGGGGGGGGAGGTGCGTGCACATACACACCCACAAGTGTGTGGTGCCTGAGGGTCCAGCGGCAGGCCTCAGAGGCAGTGTCTAACTAGCCACTCTTGTGGTATGACCTTGGTCATGTTACTACTCTTTGGTCTTCCTTGGTCTTGCTGCTTTTCTGAGCTGGTGTTCTGATGTTCAAGATCAATATTTCCTACCTTTTTGAAAATCACAATCATGTTTGTTTGTTTCTAGACTTCCATTCTCCCTTCTTTAGAGATAACCAGTAATGGTTGTATGATCTATATGCCAGGTTTCGTAGTATCTTAGGATGAAATTCATCCAGGCCTAGAAAAATGAACTAATTTGAAGTAACTTTTTTCAGTCATCTCCCTTGTCTTGTACTTCTTTTCTCATTCAATCTTTTGTCCAGTATTTCCAACTTGAAAATAATTTGAACATTTATTTTTAGTTATTTCTTAATATTTATGCTAACTGCTCCAAACATAAATGAAAAGACTTTTTTGTTGTCCATAACTTTAAAAATACTACTACTACTACTGATAACTGTAACTAGTCACTGGACCTGAACCTGTGAACAGCAGAGATTAAAGGATCCCAGACTCAGAGGGTCCCACTAAAGACAAGTGCCAGAGGCACCCATGGAGGAAACAACCTGTGTTCACCAAGAAACAGCTGGAGGGTTTAAAGACATTATTCAGTAAGAACCCATGCTCAAACTCCAGTCTTTGGAAAGAATGGCCACGAAAATTGGCAATATATCCAATAGTACCACAGATTTGGCTCCAGAATCTCAGAGCAAAACTCAAAAAAACAAAAATGTAAGTGTGTTCAATAAAAGCAACAAGAAGCCTGACAATAACAACACCTGAGGAAAAAGTCAAGAGAAATATGGGCATACCGCTCAGATCCACTGCTGGGGCAAGTCCTGTCTCCCCGGTTTCTGTAGATCATTTGGCACCCTCAGTCCAAGTAGGATGTCCCAACTTTAAAGTCCCTGCAAACCGTTCTATTGGCCATAAATAGTCTATTTTGACTGCTGCCAAGCCCCAAATATATGCTACCTATTCCCCATTTTGAAGTCTCAAGTTTTTTTCCAGGCTTGGGTTCTAATTCTTTGGTCTCTTCACTCCTCGGTAGACTTAACTAACAGTTCTGACCTACAAAAGGAAAAAAAGATCAGTTTTGGTAGGAAAAAATATTTACCTCATTCTGGACAATAACTTTCCTGGTATTATTATAGTGAATTTGTGCTACTCTTTGCATTCTTCCTTTAATAAACACGTGTCATCTGTTTAGGTTTTTTTTTTTTTTCAGTTTCTTTTCTCCTTTTTTCCTCATCAGAGTCAATAATATTATGTTATACAGTTATGTGCCGTGTAATGACAGTTGTCCCATAAGACAGACTGCATATATGACAATGGTCCCATAAGATTAGTACCAGGGTAGCCTAGGTGTGTCATGGGCTATAGCATCTAGGTTTGTGTAAGCGCACTCTATGATGTTCACACAATGACGAAGTTGCCTCACGATGCATTTCTCAGAACATCCTTGTCGTTAAGTGATGTGTGACTGTAATTTTGTTTTTAAAGCCTTACCTTCCATTTCTCTTAGGATACACTCTCTGTTAGAGTTTCTGCCTTGGAATTACCCCCATCCTATATCTGAACACTTTGAAATTTACTCTCTTAGGGTCTGGGGACCTCCCATACAAAAGGTTCCTTCTTGGTATTACAAAGTCCAAGCTCACAAGCACTCTCTCCTCTTTCAAAGCTGCTGTCACTCCTACATCACCTACAGTTTCCTCCCTGTCAGTCATTAGAGTCCTGAATAACAGTTCTCTTTGTTGTTTCCTCTACTTTCTGAGAAATGAAATCGTCATATGGTATCAATTTATCAGGTGCTCTACTTTCACCGGAATGAAACCTCTCCCCAAAGCTGAGAGAGGTGACGTTTCCCGTTACTACTGTATGTTGTGTCTGTATCTGTTTTGTAATCTGTGCTAGGAAAGTATCGCTGTGCATCAATCACAACAGCGTCCTTAGAATAGAACGTACCTTTCCAGAGTGTGAGTCTCAGTGACACTTGCCTCCTCATGTTAACCTTCCAGTTTACGTTTCTCATTACCCACGTGACAGAGATTGTTATTAAGGATGAGGCCTTTAGCTTGCTCTCCATCTACTTGATTTTTCACTAATAAAGCATTGGAAGGCCCTACTCTGTAATTTTTGGGTATCACACCAGCACCTCTCTGTGGGAGCTCTTCTCAATTTTGTGTAATCTTTTTTTTTTTTTAAAGATTGGCACCTGAGCTAACAACTAACTTGTCAATCTCTTTTTTTTTTTTTTTTTTTTTTTTGCTTTTTCTCCCTGAATCCCGCCCAGTAGATAGTTGTATACTTTTAGTTGCAGGTCCTTCTAGTTGTGGCATGTGGGACGCCACCTCAACATGGCCCGATGAGCGGTGCCATGTCCACGCCCAGGATCCGAACCGGCGAAACCCTGGACCGCCCGAAGTGGTGCGTGAGAACTTAACCACTCGGCCACGGGCCGGCCCCCGATTTTGCATAATCTTAATGAGACTTCAAAGTCTGCTCCACCATTGGCTTTAATGCTTACTGTCGTATATCTAATAAGGGGAATGATATATGCCTCTTTTTCCCTCTCGTTTCTTTAGGGGCTTGGCAGACTTGGAGGAAATGAACACTTTTAAGAACCCTGAACAAGAGGTGGACTGTTTTGTGGATAACTGTCTTTTAACTAGCATTGTTGAGGCAGAGTCAGAAACCATGGCGGGGGGAAAGGACAGAAAATAAAGTCAAAGCAGGGCTTGTTCAAACAGAAAACTTTTTTTAAGTTCCACCTAGTGTCATCATAATATATATATCTATACACCTTCTCAATCATGGGGACCAAAGTTTTTCATAAGTCAGATGAACATCTAAACTATTGAGGACAGATTTTATTTAGCAGACATTCACATAGGATTTACTGTGAGATATATGTCCAAAGGGCTTTATAAACAATAGATTCATTTATTAAATTAATCGTTTATTCCTCATAACAAACAAAACCTCCTATCAAGTAGGAACTAGTGTTAGTTCCCATTTTACAGATAAGGAAACTGAGGCATAGAGAGGTTAAGTAACATCCCTAAGGTCACACAGCTGTAAGTGAGAGAGCGGGAATTTGAATTCAAGCGGTCTGGCTTGAGGCTCTGCCCCTAAACACCACATTTTGCAGCCTTTCCAATTTATTTTCTTCCTAAAGTTCCAGTGAAGACAAATGTTTTACAACCAATACCAGAAAATACCTAATGAGCATGAAACATTATTTAAAAAGAAAAACAACTAATTAAGGACTTTGTCAGCTGTGTAGCACCTTGACCTTAGACATAACTTTCCCCAAAGCTGCCTAATTATAATAATGTTCCCTCCCTATTATTTATTGTCTGCTTGGTTCTCCCACCCATTTCCCAACTTTCAAATTACATGATTTGTACCTCACTCTTGTTTGTGTATCTTTGACCATGAACCCCTTTTTGTTGGTTGTGGGATTATGGGAAGTTTATTGATTGTGTCCAGGGTTAGACTAATGGTGTCCTTTCATCTGTTTCTCTTTTAGCTTAATTATAATTCTTGCCTGTTAATTATTTCTATCAGTCCATGTTCACGTCCAGTCTTCTCTTCCATGTAGATTTTGCTAGTATCATAAATCAATTTTTTCATGTCTCTGCATAGATTTTCTGTGCTGCTTTTCTAAATATATTGATCTTAACTGTTTTAATAGAAACTCTGTTGTAGTTAATTTCATGTAGCATAACACACCACGTACATAAACTTAGTAGGGGATCTGAATAAATCTACCAAGATCTTGAATACTTGAATACCTTGATGGGGCGTTTTTCTACTATAAGGAAGGAAGCCCCAAGAAACTAAATCAGTAAACATAAGGATTCTGTTTAATGTCTGCCTTTCTTCTCAGCATTTAGTGTATTGTAAAATTTGTTTATACTTTCCTTTGTGGCAGTTGCATCTCCCTGGCAACAGTACAACCTGTCTAATCTATAAACTACGGTAACGATTAGAAAAGAGCTTAGGAAGTTTAGCTCCTTGTCAGTCGCATGCCTCTAGCCTAACTGAAGCTGTAACAAGCTGTAACATTAAGTTGTCACTAGACTGCTGGTGACTTAACGACATTAATTATTACTCTCATAAAAACCACGAGCTGACGTCTGTGTATTGTACTGTAGTTGCCATAGATTCTAGCTTTCCTGTCTAAGAGATATGTAACAAAAGACCCTTCTGTTGTTGATCTTTGTGCCATGCTGTTTCTCAAAATTACTATTTTGTTTACTGTGAGCCATATAAACTTTTAAATGTAAATATACACTATTCATTAAATCTGTATTGACCTCCTCTGCTGTGCCAGGCACCGTGCTGTGCCATGGCAGACGCGAAGATGAATAAAATGCAGTTCCTCTCCTTGTCGGGGAGTTTGTAACCCTGTAAATACTCAAATTGTTAATATGCAGAATATCTTTAAGGGCCCTAAGAAATGTTTGAGAAGGAGACAAAAAAGTTCATAGGCTAAAGGAAAACTACTTCTAGCTTTGGGTCTTGACGATTAGGTTAGGTTTTGATAACTGGATTTGGGGGCTGGGAAAGAAGAGGAGCTAATTCCATATCCAGACAATGCTGTTCATATGGCACCATGTAGCAAAGTAGTACTTTGGAGGTACGGTGTGAAAGTAATAAATATTGCCTTTTTTTCCCTGTTAAACATTTGGCAACCTTAATGTGATGAGATTTGAGAAGATGAAATTTAATACCCAGTTAAGAATAGTTGATTAAAAAAACCCAGAAAATTTCTCATTGTCCGCTTAATATTACTGTCTTTGATTATCTCCAAAATCAAATTTCTCTTTTTTAATTCTAAAATATAGTTTTAATGGGTTCCACTTATTTACCTTAAAAGCTTGTTATGATTACCTTAAAAGCGTATAATGGATTCCACTTACCTACCTTAAAAGTATGTTATGACAACACATTGGTATAATACTCTTGGGAGCATGGAAATCATCTGTGGTCTGGGCTACCTTCCTTCCGGCTTTTCCGGCTTGCAGCTGTAAATCTGGGTCAGTCTGTTTGCTTTGATGTTCCTCCTGTTCCATCCTGTCTACACCTAGGCTTAATCCATGGTCAGTAAAGAGGAAGCCCACCAAAAATAAGAGATTCTTTCTACTTCTTACAGGAGCTCTCTGCTTCTCCTTGGAGAGTCTTAATTTGTATCTTACCGCAAAATGAAATAAATGGAAATTTGGGCATATTAAAAACATTTCTTAAAATTCTAGTTCAAAATTATAAATTCTTTTTTCTTCATTGTTCATAGTTATATAACATGTCATTTAGAGACTTTAAATTATAAGCTCTAGCTTTACAATATTAACTTTTAAATGATAATAATCAGCCCATTGAGTCTTACTGCCTTTTCTTCTATGTGATAAAGAGAAAACATACAGTGTAGCTTTGATAAACACGTGTATTTAAAAGGGCCTGAAGACCTTAGCCTGTAGTATGCTAGGCTTCTCATTTTAGTTATTTCCCCCCTAAAAAATACCGTGATTCCTTACATGTACTGTAGATGGCAGTACTTATATGGAAAATATAAGTTTATATAAGAGATTTGAGAATGATTAGCAGATGGAGTCTTAAATGAGTAAGGTTCAATTGAAATGTTCTTTCTCTGTTAATTTTTCTCATTAACTGGATTTTTTTTTAACAATCGTAAACTTTCATTTTCACTCATGATATTTCCATTCAGTTTTCTTCCACCATCACCTGACCTCCCTCCCCACCCCATGTTTGTTTCAGAAATCACATGTTATACAACCATTTTCTCTTTAGATGGCAGTGATTGGAAACTAGGTGATTACGCAGATGATAGGATCCTGTGTGAAGTTCTGTGTAAGTATTTTCTCTCAAGCAGGTTGAGTGCCAGCAGGTTGAGGCATTGCCCTAAGTTCTGATAAGAACAGGGAAAAACACTGTCACATATGTTTCAAATACACCTTCATTACAAATCTACAATTCCAGGGTCGATAAGTCTGTCTTTGCCTGGAGGGAAGTAGCTCACTCAGGAATATGAAAAGCTCTCTCCATCTCCCTAAACGTTGGGAATTTTGCTGTGGGACTCATCCGGTATTTATTGAATGCTAATTATATGCTAGACACTGTGCCTGGTAGCCACCCTGCATTATATACATGAAAGGATATGGCACCTTCCCTCAGACACCCCTTCCCAAGTATAATAACGTGTGGTAATTCCTCTGGTAGAGGCGTGTAGAAGGCACGGTGTGACGTAGAATAGGAGTAGATGGCTGTAGCAGATATTACAAAATAATCACAGCATACTTTCCCTCCAGGTCTGCTTGCTTCAGACTCCTCACAACACAGCACTTGAGGCAGCTGCTATCGTTCTATCAAAAAAGACCTGAAGCGGAAGCCTATTTCCTATCCGTGGCATAGTGGGAGAAGTCCCTGAGAGTCTGCCTAGAAGTGGTGTACATTATGCCGCTAGTTGTGTAAAGGAGGGGAAAGAAAACACACACGCACTTGCTTGTTCATGTTTCTCTAGAAGACTACCCAAGAAATGGGTAATATTGGTTGCCTCTGGGGAGAAGAGTTAGGTGGCTGGGGGATAGGGCGGGAGAGAAACTTTTCTCTGAATATCCTTTGGTTTCTTTTGGAGTTTGAACTATGTGAATTTATTACCTGTACAAAAACACAGTTAAAGCTTTATTTCCTTGGTACATCATGTTACCACATCTGAGGAGAATATATACCAGTTGTCTTTTATTTGGTGTATTGTGTAACCTACTAAACTCCTAAACATGTGCTAGGTAGAGAAAAGTATTGGTAAGGATCATCTAAGTTGTCTGTAACATTTTTTGTTTTGGTTACAGGGAACTTCCCACTCTACTTTTCACAGCTCTCAAATAGTATATCCCGATAAACCTCGAGTGGCTGTGAGTGGGAGTGGTTCCTCCCAGATAAGCTACCTATAGATTTATAGGACGAAGAGCTATGTGTTTTGGTTTTGTTTTAGTTTTGTTGTTTTAATGGAAATTATAGATGGTGTGTGCCAGAAAACTCTGGCAGAAAACAGATTGTGAACAGAAAAAATATGGTTCAGTAAATCCCGTTACATTGCTCAGAACTGAGAGCGACTTAGCACATTTCCTTGGCAAGATGAATTGTTCGTGATATTCCATCGGAGAAGTCATAATAGGACATATAGAGGCATCAACTCTTCTTGAAATAAGTTTTTGTAGCTGAAATAAAAAAATACTGGCAATGTGAAAAGAAACTTCATAGATAAACCATAGCCCATGTCCTTAGAAATTCTATATATGTTTATGGATCATGTAAAGATGATGTTGAGGGTTGTAAAGAAAGAGAGCTTTAGGTCTCGTTGAAACCTGATAAACAAAACAAAATTAAAATCAAGTATACACAAAGAATAGTGTAAGTTATCTATTTTATACACATGTGTATACACTAAAGCTCAAAATATGGTCAGTTGACATTAATTGGCTGGCTAATCTTTATGAACTCTGTTTCTATTAATTGGATAATAAAAGCAGCTAACATTATGGTAGCGTATAACAGTTTACAGATCACTTCTGCAGTGTTTATCTCACCTGAGCATGGGCTCAAGAACTTATTTTGGGGGGGTTCGTAAGGAAAATCATCTTTTTTTCTGACTTCCACCTCTCTATATGGTTATGGCCATGTAGAAAAAAAGCAATTAAGTGGACTTTTCTTGACATACTTAACTTGTTAACTGAGAAGAAAATCTCCCGTCTGTGTTAACAAGGTCTTTCCACCCCTTTATTGTGTAACCTGAGCTCAGCCAATAAGTCCACACCAGCGCACAGTAAAACCTGGCAGGACAGTCCAAACTGGTTCGATCATCCTTTCCTCCTCCTCCTTTGTAACAGGTAAGAATTCCATTTCAAGGTTATGGATTTTTTGACTCACTCAGTCTCTTCCAATAAGGAATCCTACTCTAACATCCACTTCATCCCTCTTCTCTGCTCTCATACTTCAGTTTTCCCTTTTTCTTTCATTCATTAATTCATTCATCCATCCAGCAAATATTTATTGATTGTCTTAAGGACCATGCTCTATTCTTTGTGCCAGGGACCCGGCAGTGAACAAAGCAGAGAGAACTCCCTGCCCTCATGGAGCTTGGGTTGTTTTTAAGACGCACCTACCATTGGGTTGCTGCAGTGCGTAACTCCATAGGGTGCCTCTCAGGTTATCGTCCGTGTGAATATTGCCCCTAGAGTTGTGCAGTGCACGGCCAGTTCAGCTCTACACAGCAGTCCTGTCTACTATGCTTCATTTGGATGATTGTCAAAATTAATTTTGATGGTAAAGTCAGTCAGTTGCCATGTTCCAACAATTGCCCCAGGGCAGCCCCTTCGTTTCGGGAAAGCGTGCAGTCTTCTGTCGGGTGGAAGAGGATTTCGTGGAGAAACCAACCTTTGTCTTTCTTCAGATGGCTTCTGGTAAGCCACTCTAAAATTCACTTACTACTTCTTTCTTTACCTTCAGCAGTAAGTGAGGGATTTTTTTTTTTGCCTTTGAGGAGTTCTCTGATTTCTTTCTTTTTTTTTTTCTTTGCACAGCAAAACATGGGGTGTTTTGTCTAGTTTCTTTCCCCTCACGATGATCACAGCATCATTTTTTTTCCGAGCTGTGTGGTGGTTCTTCCACCTTGATTTGTGGTCAGTAAATTTGCAGTTGGTAAGAAGTCTGAGCCCTGTATTTTGAAGACAAAGTTGCTTTTCATGTATTTATTAGGGAGAGAGATTTGGAATAAGGATAGCATCGGTTCATTATACCATTATCTTGCCTTGTGATTCTGCTCAGTTCTTTTTTTTTTTTTTAAAGATTGGCACCTGAGCTAACATCTGTTGCCAAGCTGCTGCTGCTCTTTTTTTCCTTCTTCTCCCCAAAGCCCCCCAGGACGTAGTTGTATATTCTAGTTGCAGGTCCTTCTAGTTCTGCTATGTGGGACACCACTTCAGCATGGCCTGATGAGCGGTGCCATGTCTGCACCTAGGATCCGAACCCGCGAAAGCCCAGGCCACAGAAGCGGAGCGTGCGAACTTAACCACTTGGCCACAGGGCCGGCCCCTCTGCTCAGTTCTAAATTCTTTAAAGCTCAGATTTTCCTTGTGATCAAAATATGGAGCTGAAAACACTTATTAATAATACTCACCCTCCCCCCCGCCACCAATCTGGAAAATAGCTTTGAATTTATCTAAGGAAGGTATCGTGTCAAGTCTCATTATTAGAACAAAATATGTGTTTGAAGAGAGTAATTCTTTGTGCATGAAGGGTTGGAAAAATTGAGAAGTATGTTTACTTGCACATCATTATAGTTAAGGTCAGATGGAAAGGTTTAGAGATTGTGCAATTAGGGAATGTTTTCTGCCCACAAATTCCCTAGCTGTGTGCTTCACATTCATTAACAATTAGGTCCAAGGATACTTGGATTCAAATCTGCTTTGGAAACTAATTTTCCCAAATATTTTGTTTCCTACATCTTTACTGAAATGGTCAACAACATCAGGCATCAGCTCCACCAACAATTTTCCTCCCTGAGGTGGCCTTGTTTGTCCTTTGATCTTTTCAGGCCCAGCCTCTTAAAACTTGATCTCCGTTGCAAATGTCATCCTTTATAGACCAATGAGGGACTTATATTTCAAGTAGTTTGGGGGCAGATGCTGATGGTATGTAAGACAGAGGGCTCCTGCTCTGCAGCCTCACTTTCCTCTTGGCACTTTACTTGCTTCACTCTTTTAGACTTCGAGCATGGTTGAGTCTCTCAAACCCTTTCCTCTTTCAATTCTTGTTCCCTATTTTTAATATTTCATAACTGAATGACTTAACCCTGGGCAACTTCACATGCGTCTTCACTGCTTAATTGAAATGACACTCTTCGATGTTACCAGTGTCTTCTGAGGGGAAATGGGAGCTACTATTTGTTGAGTACTTTCTGTGGACCAAGCAGAAGGTGCCTGTGGTAGACACAGCATCTCGTTTAATTCTCACAACAGTTACATAGGTAGTGGTATTCCCTTTTTAAAGATGAGGAAACTACGGATCAGAAAGGGTTAAGTAACATGTCTCATAGCTAGTACGTGTCAAAGTCACAGGATTAGACATATCTCATTCTAAAATCTACGTTCTTCCTTCTCTAACACACTGTTTTATCTTTATATTTCGACCTATTGATCTATTTATCCCGTCTTTCTTGAAGTACCACTCTGGGCTCTCTGTGACATGCTTTTCTGATTCTTTGGTCTCTTGGGTCTCCATTGCTTTATTCACTAATTCATAAACTGCTAGCTTGCTAGCTTGCTCTAGTCTCTCTCCTCCTTATCTAAACTTCCCAAAAGACTGATATACAATTTCTTTCTTGCTACCCATTTACTCACTAACCCTCCTGAGGTCTGGTTTAGCCTCCATCACTGCATTGAAACTGCTCTTGCTAAGGCCATCGGTAATTTCCTAATTGCCAATTCCAATGGACATATTTTAGTCCTTTTCTTAGTCCGTTTGGGTTACTGTAACAAAAATACCATAAAGAACAAACATTTATTTCTCACAGTTCTGGAGGCTGGGAAGTCCAAGATCCTGGCACCACAGATTGAGTGTCTGGTGAGAGCTCAATTCTTCATTTATAGATGGCCATCCTTTCACTGTAACCGCACATGGCAGAAGGGGTGAGAGAGCTCTCTTTGGCCTCTTTTATAAGGCACTAACTCCATTCAGGGGTGGGAGGGGGTCTGCTCTCGTGACCTAATCACCTTCCAAAGGCCCCACCTCCAAATGCCATCAAATACTGTAGGTTTCAGCACGTGAATTTGGGGGTGACAAACATTCGCACCTTTTCTCTGCATTTAATAACTTATTCTTCTTGAAACTATCTCTTTGAATTCTGTGAGTCTACACTATTGTTCTTCTCATTTTACTCTCTGACCACTCCTTATTATCTCTGACTTATTTTTGAGCTCTCCTTCCTCCTCTTCCCCTTAAATGTTGGTATTCCCCGAGGCTCTGTCTCATGCCCCATCTTGATTGATCTCACCCCTTTATATGGTGTCAAGTTCCAAATCTACGTCTCTACCCGATACATGTACTTCAAGCTAAGTATATCCAAAACCGAACTCAGCCTCTCTCTCCCAGACCTCTACACCTACAAATGGTACCACCATTTTTCCAGCCATCCAGTCTAGAAACCTGAGAGTGATCTGTGACTCCTCCTTCTCCATAGCCCACATATCCAGTCATTCACCGAGTCTTGCCAATTTTACCTCCTAATTATTTCTCAAATCAATTCTCTTCTCTCCCTCTATTCTGTAACCTTCTCATTAGATTCTTATTAGCGTCTACTTAACCACTTTACCATACCCTCCTCATTGATTTCTCATCTCCAGTTTTGTTTCTTTAAAATCCATCCTCTTCCTCAGGCAAAAATAACCACGTAACTCTCCAACTTAAATAGATTTATAGTTCGACTGTAGATTTACATTTGTTGTTTTGACCAGGGAGGTATTTGAATATATTAAAAGATTTATTTTAGTAACTGATGTGAATTTTTTGTTAAATAATTCCCCTTTCCAATTTATGTGTTTTATCTTCTTGAACTTTAAAATTAGATATAATATCTGCTCCTTAAGTGGAGCAAATAAAACTCTAAACATACAATGCACATTACCATGTTATTTTTATTAACACATCTTGTTTTTCTGTCTGTTTTATGTAAAGGGACAGAAACTAAAACATATTGTACACTCTATTAAAACTGGACACTGTGCTTAAGCAACCCCATGAAGTAAACAATTAAATTCCCATTTTACAAATGAGGAGCCTGAAGTGCAATTAAGTCACTTTTCACTGACCACAAATACGAGTAACAGATCCAGAATTCAAATACCAGTCTGACTCCAAATTCCACGGTCTTCCCACTATGCCATACTACCATGCCCTGTAGTATGCAGTTGTAATTCCCAAACCCGCATGTCTGGCCCTCCCCTCACCGGGTAGTTCTCTGGATTTGTGTACACCTGCGGGTTAGGACAGTTTACCAATCTCAGAAATTGGGATGATTAGGAAAATGACATGAAGGAAAGCAACATTATAAGAAAAGTAACCTGACAATGGTTCAGGAGAAACCTGGTTGGAACACCAATCAGGAGACCTAATGGCGTCTTTAACTAAAGTGATGACAGTGGGACTAAGAAAGAAGACACGGATATGCTTAAGGCAAGGAATTAAAGTAAAGGATCATTAAAGATACATCTCAACTGGATATTCATGAAAACTTCTTAATTCTCTAAATTTTAATCTTTCAGAATATATCAAAACTATATATAAATGTACCACATTTTTGTGCTTTCATAGCCTAACAACGATGTGTAGTCTTTTACAGCTTACTGAG